ACTCTTTCATCAGGCCTTGCTCCTTCCCACCTCTCTGCCTTCGCTCAGTTCCAATAGAAAACACCAGAAAAAAATCCTTAAAGGCCCTTCTGTCGAGGCGGAGTCCTTCCTCTCGCCTTTCCTTTCCCTCTTCCTTTTTCTCCTCTCCATCTTTTCCCACCATCTGCTTCTGATACGGACTGTCTCACCTGCCTCAGAGTTAGTAACTGAGGCCAGCCGTGCTCCCGATCAGTCCCCGCCAGGCTGCCACCTCAGTAGCAGCAGTGCTTGGTCAGAGTGAAGGAGAAGGCAGAAAAAAACGGAAACCTGCAGAACTCCGGGCCGACTCCTGGCACATGGCTGGTATTGAATCGACTTGCCTAACCACTGGGCATTATGAAGTGGTGCCATAATGTTTATTCATTGTGATGGGCCCTGAGTCATCAAGAAAAGGTTATATTATATCTCGTAACATTTATTATAAGAAGTCAGGGAAGTGTATAATCTATTTCAGGAAGGTTTATTTCCCAATTAGGCAAATTAAGTACATTTTTTTTTCCACTTGAAAGGATTAGCTTCAGGCGATCTGGAAAAATCCACTTCTGTGCCATACTCCCTTCCCTGATGGTGGCAGGTAGAGGAGGTGGCCTCTGCATTAAGTGGCCTTTGCTTATCTGCCTTGGAGCTCTAGTTGTGTAGGTGCGTGTCGACTCCTCAAATGGCCCAGAGGCTGCCCATGACAGAGATGGTGGTTTCTTGGTATCCCATCACTGGGTGAAGCTTTGCAGGCATAGCTGGCCCTTAGCAAATGCTCATTGTCTGGCCGCGCCCCCTTTTGACCCCTTTGGCTGGAGTCCTGTGTGTGTACTTTTCAAACTCCCTGGGTGAGCCGTGTCTCTTGTCTTCTTCACTCTCCTCTGTTCTTCTCTCCCCCGTGTCTCCTCCTCCTGTACTTCCGCTTCAGCTCTCTGTGCACACATGTGTGCGTGTGAAGGGGCAGGTGTCTGTCTCCATTGTCTCTTGGGTGTGTGGGTTTTGCCGTCTCTCTGTACTGCCCAGCTCAGAGCTGCCTGAAGCATCCACTCAGGCGTTTCCTAAAGAACCCTGCACGTGGGATTGACTTCTCTGCGATAGGCCAGCCGTCTCCGTTTACCTGTGACTGAGGGGTTCCCTGGAATGTGGGACTTGCAGTTCTCACGTTGGGACAGTCCAAGGTTCCCAGGACAGTTGATAACCCTATCCGTGAATGGACCTTTTCCCTGTGGGCTGTACTTGAACAAGATTTTTATGTTAGAGTGGCTCCATGGACTAGTGGTTAAGGGAACTGGATCCCACATAGACAACTATGGCTCGAATCCCAGCCCTGGCAGGGTTGAAAAATATGAGTCACAACAAGATGGAGAAATGGGTAAGGGACTGTGGTGTGATTGCACCCATAGGGTGTGCAACCATAGGGGGTGCTTTCTCCCCCTTCCTCACTCTCTGTCTCTCTCTGGTAAGTGTATACACCCTCTAGCAATTGAAAAGAAAGTTTTCCACCCAAGATGCCTAATGACCTACTAGCCTGCAGGAGTTTTCTGGTCACAGTGAAAGTGCCCAGGCCATGGCTTCTGCATCCTGGTGTCTGCCCACCCGGGGCCCTGGAGACCTGAGGGCTGCAACCCTGTGTATCCTGCAGGCCCCCTCCTGCCGACACAGCCCTGGGGTCACCAGGCTCCTGGGCATTCATCGGCACTGGCCCTGGGGCTTTATCTTCTCTAGAAGTTTCTGGTTTCCAGTACACTGTGACCTTGGATGACCTGAGGTTAACCGTGCTGCCTCATGGCCTGTGGCTCCCTTCCAGGAAGCTGTCTACTTTCAACCTGTACATGGAGACCCACGGCTACAACATGGCGCAGGTATGGAGAGATATGGAGGACGTCATCATCAAGACGATCATCTCGGCCCACCCCATCATCAAGCATAATTACCACACCTGCTTCCCCAACCACACGCTCAACAGCGCCTGCTTTGAAATCCTGGGCTTCGACATCTTATTGGACCACAAACTCAAACCCTGGCTGCTGGAGGTAGGGAAGACTGGGCAAGGAGGGGAACCGCCTTCTTACTGGCTCTGCGGCTGCAGGGACTCCGCCTTCCCGGCACACCTAAGGCCGTTTTCAACTTCCTCCCTCAGCGCTTGCTGCCTGGGGCTTGTCTCTTAGCCGAGAAGTGGCCACCAGAGGGGGATAGACGGCTGGGAATTAGAGAAGGCCTGTGCCTCCTTGAGGTCCGCCCAGACTCGGCAATGCCGATCCCAGGCACTGTGATTCTAAAGGCAGCCCTCCCTTTGTGACAGGGTTGTCTCCCGGAAAAGGGGTATTCTTTGTCCAGGCTGGGGTGACAATGCGATGTTCTGTGTCAGGCGGGAGCTACACCTGGACTTCTCAATTCCAAGCACCAGAAGGGAGTGATCTGGTGTCTGCTGCCATGTAAATGGGTGGAGGACGAGTTTTCTGCCTCCCCCAGACTCATGGCATGGCAGGAGGAGGAAGAGAAGCTTTCTGGGTGGCTGCCTACTTTTCCAATTGAACTTGACCTCAGGAGCCCTCAGCAGGAGGTGACTGGATCGCACATGATTGACTGCATGGTTTGAGTCCCAGACCTAGTGGCTTAAAAAGCACACTGGGTGTGTGGGAGTGGGGGGAGGTGGCGGGAAGTGGATGGAGCAAGCTCTCCTGAGCTATGCCAGGTGCTAATGACATGGAGTCAGGCTGCAGAGTGGAGGCCCAGAATCAGAGACCAGATTCCCAAGGCTTCGTCCTTCCTCCATTCCCAGCACCTGTTCCCAGGTGTGGTGGGAAGCAGGGTATGGCTCTTTGGAGCTTGTACTCAAACAGTGGGATGAGCTACCAGGCTCGACCTTCAGAAACTGCTAGAATCTGCACTTGTCACACTGCCTCTGAACAATATGGAATCTGCCACGAGTGAACGAGCACCTCCCCCTCCTCCCGCCTGCCTCCCCCTCAGCCCTGGCCAGGCTCTGGGATGTCTGTCCTTTCTACCCCCTGCCTCCAGTGCTGGCCCTTTGGACCTCCCCCTGGCATCTTACTCCATGGGACGCACATGCACATGAGGGAAGGAACACCCCACACCGAGTGGGGGAGGCAAGAGGGGCCAAGCCCTACGGTTTTCCAAAGAGGCCGAGCTGAGGCGAAAGCTGATTAAACTTGGTGGCACCCCGCCTCCTTTTTCCACTGTGCTCTACCCAGGCCTGCCCCTCTCGCTTTCTTTCACTCATGTCGGTAGCCAGGGCTGATGGCCCCACTCTCTGCTCTCACTCTGGGCAGTCCAGGGCCAGCTGCCACCTTGTCCTCACAGGTCAACCACTCTCCGAGCTTCTCCACTGACTCGTGGTTGGATAAAGAGGTGAAAGACAGTCTGCTGTATGATACCTTGGTCCTGATCGACCTGGGAAACTGTGACAAAAAGAAAGTCTTGGAGGAGGAGCGACAACGGGGGCGGTTCCTGCAGCAATGTCCTTCTCGGGAGATCAGGTCAGCCCTGGGGGCCTCATTCTCTGACTGCCCTGGTCCCAATCAGCCTGACCTGTCCCGGTCTAAGTATGACCTGGCAGCGTATTAGTCACACGGTCTACCATTTCTCCAAGCCCTGGTGTTCTTCTGTGAAATGGAGCTAATGATACATAAGGTTGTTGGGAGAATTCAATGTGGTAATTTGTATAAAAGGCTCAGCAGCTTTGTGTGTGGCAATTGAAGCAGCTGGATCCTACATGGCCAGGGTGCAGTTCAAGTCCTGAACCTGGCAGCTTGAAAATCACACTGGGCACTTGTGTGTGCATGCCCAAAAATCTCAAGAGGAGGGACCAGCAGTTAGTGTAATGGCTATGTCACTGGACTCCCATGTAGTCGACTGAGGTTCGCATCCTGGACCCAGTGGCTTAAAACTTATGCCGGGCGCGTGTGCGTGCGTATCCAAGATCCTGAGAGGAGAACGGAGGAGAAGGGATTGTGGCGTGGCCATCCCCTGTTGGGGGTGATTTCTCGCTTTCTGTCTCTCCGTCTCTCTCTGTCTGTCTGGCAAGCGCATGCGTCCTATAGCAAAGAAAAAAAAAAGGAGAAGGGAGAAGAAGGGATTGCCATGTGGCCATTACCCCTGAGGAGTGATTTTTCACTTCCCTCCTCTCTCTTTGTCTCTGTCTCTCTCTGATGAGCACATATACCCTATAACAAAAACTAAAAGCAAAAAAAAAAATCTTGCTTGGAGCTGGCCCCACAGTCTAGTGATTAAGGGAGCTGGATCCCACATAGCTGACCATGGGATCTGGATCCTGACCCCAGTAGCTCGAAAACCACACTGGGTGCATGTGCATGCATGGCCCAAGTCCCGACAGGATGGAGAAATGGAGGAGAAGGGATTGCGGCGTGACCACACCCCACTGGTGGATGCTTTCTCCCTCCCTGTCTCTGTCTCTGGTGAGAACATGCACCCTCTGGCAAAAAATAAAATAAAATAACCTTGTCTGTGTGGAAGGATGTTCATTTCTATTAAACAAGAATCCATTTTGGAAATAAGGTTATATTGCAGAATGGAGCATCCTAAACAGTTTTATTGTGAATATTCCTTTGTTTCTAGAAGTAGGAAATTAAGTTATAGACACATAACGATATAGAATGGATTTGAATTGGTTAGTATCATGTGAAGATTTAGGAATTATCAATATAACAAAGCCATGGAGCCAGCAGGTGATGTGGTGGTTAAGGTGGCTGGACTCCTACATGGCTGATCCCCGTTCAAGTCCTGGACCTGGCAGCTTGCTTTCTCATTTTCCTTTTCTCTCTGTCTCTCTCTGGTCAACCTCAAAAAATATAAAATAAAATAATGACAATGAATAAAATTAAATAATAACATAATTCTTTTTTTTTTTAAAGCTATTTATTTATTTTTCCTAAAAAGAGATTTAGCTGTCTGGTTCCACTTCTCTGCATTGGCAGGAGCTAACACCCTGCTTCCCACGGGCCGTGTTTGCCTTGTAACAACAGGGGCCTGCGCTCTGCAAGGTGACTCTAGTGTCGGGGGACTCTGAGCCTGGTCAAGGAGCTGCCCTCATTGCTTTTTTTTAAATTTAATTAAAATTTTTTTTTTTTACATTTTTTTCCCCCATTTTATTCATTCACCAAATACCTTAAAATAAAACTATGGACAAAGCTAGAATCTAGTTCTAGTTAAAATTAGAAAATTAGCACTGTAATTTTCTTCAGAAACATTTTGAGTTAATTAATTTACATTCATTCCCTGAGATTGTCACAACATACAAAATGTGATTTTCCATCCAAAATATTCTGCATAGTGGCTTAATTATACATCATCACTAATTTTCCATTTCTAGTTTCATATATATACATGTATGTGTGTGTGTGTGTGTGTGTGTGTGTGTATATATATATAATTTTTTTTACCGTTATTTCTCACCCTCTGCCATTTCTCACCCTCCTCCCACACTATCTTAGGTGTCTACAGTTGTTTTCCATTCCTTTTCCCCCACACATTTTATTGATTAACAAAATTTCTTAAGTAATCTAACTACTGTGAATAGCAAGTTTAGCTGGGATGTACGTATGTTGCTTTTTGGATCCCTCTCCAGCCCCCTTCCCTGCTCATCTGCAGAGCCAGCCTAGTCTGGGAGTGAGCTTCTGGAGCTGGGGCAGTAAGTAGCGTTCCTGCTTGGGGGACCATGCTGCTTAGCCACTTTCACATGTAGCACCTTCCCTGTAAGGAGTGCAGAGGGGTAGGTAGGATGGGTTGTTGTGGTCCTGGTCTTCTTTTTATTAAATTTTATTTATTATTATTACATAGATATTTTTAATTTGCTATAGAGCACATGCACTCACCAGAGAGAGCCACAGAGAGAGAGAGAAAGAGAGAGAAGAAAGATGAGAAAGCAAGCCACCAGGTGTGGGACTCGAACTGTGGTCAGCCATGTGGGAGTCCAGCACCACCACCACAACGCCACTTCCTGGCCCCAAATGTGGTCCTGTTCTTGAAGCCAAGGAGACTTACCCGAGGTCACCTTGCTGGTGATGGCAGGCCAGGACCCAGAGTCCAGTAGGTCAGGTTCTGTCACAGTCCAGGAGACCTTCTGCTGGCCATTCTGTCCCCAAGCTCCTTGAGAGGGAGGCAGTGTCATGTGCTGAGGAGCAGCCAGCAGGGCAAAGGCTGCCTCTGAATCGGTGGCTCTTAGGTTCCCTGCTACAAAAGGGAGCTTGATCTAGCCCATGGCACTGTGGTTAAGGCTGGATCCCACATGGCCAACTGCACGGTTTGAGTCTGGACCTGGTAGTTTAAGAAACATGCTGGGTGCATGTGTATGTGTTCCCAAAACCCCAAAAAGGGGGATAAGTAAAGGAGAAAGGATTATGTCATGACCATCCCCTATGGGAGGTGCTTTCGCACTCTCTCTCCCTGGTAAGTACACGAGCCCTCGGTAAAAATTAAAGGGCAGAGAAGACGGGGTTATCATTCTCTCTACCTGACCTCCATCCGCCCCACCAGGGTGCTGTGAGGAAGAATGAGATCATCACAGCTCATCCAAGAAGCCTTCAGATTCAGCCAAAAGCAAGCCTCCATTCTCCAGAGAAGGGCAATAAGGGCTGTGAATGTGAAGGTGGCAGCAGTCTGCCATCTCACGACGAAGCCAAGGGGGACATGGGTTTTGCTTGTGACAAGAGAGGATTGGGTGAGCCGTCAGAGCTGGATCCTAACCAGCTCCCAGTGCATCATGACGGGGCTGTCCGGGAAGGCCCTGGAATCTCCGTTCAGGGAAACATTCATGCATTTATTTGGCAAATAGTGACTGACCACTGTGATGTACAAGGCCTCCACCTGGCCCTAGATGGCATCCAGCTTGACACGTCGCTTCTAAGCAGGGCCCCAAGAAAGTTAAACTGCAGCCCAGTGTTCTGCTTCCCACAGGATCATGGAAGCCAGGGGTTTCCAAGCTGTGCGCTTACAGAAAACAGAGAAGTACGAGAAGGAAAACTGCGGAGGGTTCCGACTGATTTATCCTAATCTGAATTTGGAGAAGTACGAGAAGTTTTTCCAGGACAACAACTCCCTCTTCCAGAACACAATTGCTTCCAGGGCTCGGGAGATGTATGCCCGGTAGGAAGGCTCCCAGGATGAGGTGGGTGGGATGTTCTGGGGACTGTGCTTGACCTGCTGAGTGATTGCCCAGGTTAGGCATGGGGGGGGGTTGTCTCTGAGCTTCAGTCCTCAACCCTGAAGTTACCAGAGGAACATGGTTCTGGTCTTCCAAAGACCAGGAGTTAGAAGGTCCTCTAGTGAGGGGCATGGTTAAGTTGATGGGTAGTTGTTTCTGGAAACTCACTCCTGAAATAGACTCCCCCACTTTACTCAAGGCTGCTCACCCCCATCAGAAATAGACTCCCCCACTCCACTCAAGGATGTTCACCCCCATCAGCTGCCTCATGGGTTCTTGCAGGTATAAAACCTAAGAGCAGAAGGGACTCAATCCCAATCCACCACCCATTTTATGGTCAGGGAAGTCAGAGCAGAGAAGGCATCTCATAAGATGATGACAGAAGACATCATCACCCTATTTCCTCACTTGGGGGACTGAATTATTTCCACTGTATCACACTGCCTGTTGTCCACCCCCAGGATCTGTTGTCAAAGAGGCCTAGTATATGAAGTGGTCCAACGGGGAAGCTCCTGCCTCCAGCCTCATACTCAGACCCTCTTCCCGATACCTGCCATGGATGGGAGGAGACAGGGCTGTGGTGGAGTTACTGGGTTGTTAAGAACAGGACCACAATTCCCCCTTCCTGCATGTCTCTTCTAAGGATACATGGCTGAGGGCTGATTCTTCCTCCACTCCCTCTCTTTGGCCTCCAGTCCCTCGAGCAGCCTGGATGCTTTGAGGGAAGGATGAGAGAGCACTCCGCCATCTTGTCCATCCCTTGAGGAGAACCCTGGCCTTGAAGTGCATCTCGTCCCTCCATGACACTCACTTGTCCTTCCTTTGCAGGCAACTGATCCAGGAGCTGAGACTGAAACAGGAGAAAATCTCCTTCCAAATGAAAGAGAAGAAGGCAGAGATGCAGGGGGAATCTGCAGGCGAGCAAGCAAGAGGCAAGAGGGAGAGGAGCTGGCAACAGACACTGCGGGAGAAACACAAGGCCGCCCCCCACGTCTCCAGACAAGTAAACCCGGATGGGAGGGGAGACATGCCCAGCACCCTTCCCCGACTGGGGCCAATCCGTGGAGGGGTGCTGAGGAGACCATTATTCAGAGTCCAGACACACTGAAGGGCTGCCCGGAGGGCTGGGCCACAGGGAGGGGAGCACAGAAGCACACGGAGCCTGGAGTCTCCCAGAGGATCACTCCACCCAGGCAGCAGAGGGCTCTCACTGGTCTGTCACTCCCTTCTGGGACTGGAGCAGCTGGCTATGCCTGGGGGCTGAGTGGGAACCCCAGTTAGGGAGCGGGCTATGGAACTTCATATACCCATGGTCCTCAACTCCGACGAGGGGTGGAATGCTCCCCTCTACCAGGGCCCTCGG